TTGAAGGGATTTTTGGATAGTATTTCTCACTGATATACGGACGATATCGATGTTCTCTGAGTTCTAGGTGTTTAGAAATCCCAGATCAGAATTTATTAGCAGCATTATCCACAATATAAGCTCTATTAAATTATGTTAAAGCGCGTAGGGCTATCCGCCTAAGTGAAGGGATATCTTCGTGGAGGATCTATTAAGGAAACTTGCTGGTATTCACGTTATTCATCGGGATAACCACCAAGCAATCAGCTCATTCTTCGGAATTTTTACCTAGGTAGAAATATCAAGGTTCAATCATGTTATCCAGTCAGCCACTGGGGTAATTTTCTAAATAGCATAGACTCATATTCAGGTTACGTAAGCCGAAAAAATGCGAAATCCTAATGCAAACGCATCACTATCATCTTTCTTTCAGATTTTTGATACACTCACGGGGTTTGGGATGTGTCAAATAATTCGCTCAAAAGGCAACAATGTGAAGAACAGGAAAATTATATAATGGTTTAATGTCATTTGTGTTCAGAAGTGGTATAGAGTCTAGCAACAGCACTGTTAATTAATTTATGCAGAGTAAGGAAAGTTTTCGCTTTAAAACTATCATTGGAAATTAAAAGCAACGAGCTAAAATACTTTTTAAAGCAGCACAATACTGTTTTGTATTCTCACTAAAGCTCAGTTCGTGCACAAAAATGTTATTATGTCAATAATCGTTACAACACAATGAAAAATTTACGCATGTACTGACAGTTGATCATCCCAATAACACACGTAGCGAATTTACTCAACTGTGTAGTTAACGCATGGATGGTTCAGTTAAAGGCAAGGAAAGGATCGGAACAAAGTAACGTAGAATTGTCGAAGATGTATGCCACTTAACAGCTTTTCGCCTCGTGTCACATCTGTCACCCACTTTTTAATGTATTGTTTAAAAAACTGTCGGATTAAATGATCCCTTTTACTAGTTCCCTCACGGTACGTCTGTGATATCTCCTTTGATTCCATTTCTCACTAGCACTACTATTATTACGCGAGCTAGTAATGTTAGCCATATAATTATTCTCTGGAAGAAATAACAGGGCAGTGTTACAATTCTAACGGCATTTCTATCCTCCCGTGCTGTGATTCCCAATAAATTTCGATTGGCAACACACTTCTAAATTCATGGGATCCCGTAATTTAGAGTTTTAATTATTCTCGTATTAACAGTCAATTATTAATCTGAATTTGTTGTTGACGTGGGCAAGAAAATTAGCCACAACGTCCTTTTACGATAGACAGGTCTTGAAAAAATGCGCCAGTTTGTTTCTCTGTTCATATTTCTCTACGTTTGTTGCAGAAAAACTTCGAATCTGAGTTCTGTGGAATTAAAAATGCGCTCCTCGTCCCATGGATTTGATCGACAGAATCGTGTTTCACTTCAGTCGAAAGAATTATTACATTGAGTACTCACATGGTTTCACACGTTAACATGATTAGAAGATCTGTGGTTCAAATCCACTGGCTATCATAGTTGATTTTTCACGTTTTCAGCTCTAAAACCTAACAGGCTTTGCATAGCATCATGCAGCTCGTAGTAAGCTTTCTCCGGTCAGCTGGAAATCTGCAATACTGGGCTGCGTGCAGTGTTAATTTTAAATTTAAAAGACTCGTCAGATACAAGCTATTTCGCAGTTATTACGTCGCGCTTATGAAAGAAATCACCCAAAATTTAGTATTGTTTTATTTATTTATTTTTGTACAAAACAGTAGTTTAATTCAAAATGTTTGTGCATTTATAATTTTTTTCTAAATGCAAGAATTTTTTAATCTTCTGATTTTTAATACGCATTTTAAACTACGCCCTTAATAAAATAATTTTTGGTTTAAGTGTATACGAAATAGAAATCTTTTTAAATATATTAGGTGGCTTAAGATAAACTAAACCGGATATCGGAGATTTTGCTTGTTTTGGTGTATTTTGGGCCTCCCGGTGTAACAATTGCGAGACTTATATGGTAGCGAAAGCTGAAATTTTCTTCATTATAAAAAATAAATGTTTTAAGGAATAGAACATTGTTTTACATACTTTTTGCAGACAATATCAGTAAATTGCTGTTCACAGTGAAATGCCGCTGAATGTTCTCAATTTGATAGCGATATGAATTCATATTCCGTCATTTTATTGTTTTAGATATCACTCATCACAAATATAAAAATGCATTTTCATTTACATATTAATATTTTTTGTTAAAAAACCCTTAATATGTAATTTAGTATCGCAAATAGTAGTAACTAGAAGTTTATTACGAGTAGCATGCGAGTACTCTTTTGAGGATGCTTCCGTGAAGGACTTTCCAAATAAAGCTAGCTTCTATTTTTGTTATACATGGAAAAACTGGCCCACTACCAAAAACCAAAGTTAAGTTGAAGCTACCAGTGTTTAGTGATTTTAACCACTTTAATTTTGGTGAGAAGCTAACCTTTGAAAATCTCAGAAAGGTTATTTATGCGGAAGATTTTTTTGAAATTTTTTTAAAAGTGTATTTACCGCTTAATTGATGTGAACAAAAGTAAAATATCTAGAATTAGGAATATTACGCAGTTGCAATTCTGTTTTCATTTTAGACATCTTTGAGTTATAAAACACAAACAGCGAAACCACGGACGCGTATTTCAGATCACATACAATTAATTGCTGTCATACAACTAAAAATTTCGAAGACACGGTCATTAATATTCTTGTAAAAGAAACTAATTGGTAGGAAGACATGGTAAAGGAAGTAATGGTGGTAATTACACTAGTCCTGTTTCGAAAGAGAGATAGTCTAGTGGAATCATGAAGTCAAAGGGCAATTTTATTTTCTTTCAGAAGGCAAGCGAAATGCGGAAAATTAGTACGTAGTGAGGAAACTATAATGCCTTTAGTTTTCAATACTGTTAAATTTTTCATTGACACTCATAAAAATGGATTTATTTGTGGGTTTCAATTTTTACCTCATTCTCCATTTATCATATCTGGATATTCACTCAATTTGTTACAGTATAGTAAGAATCTAATTCCACTTTTGGTTGCATTCTCTGCCGTCTGTTAAAATACGGGCAACTCCTACTTTACGAAAAACTCCATTTAACCTTTATGAACTAGTTCGTTATAACAATAAAGTTATTAAAGTTAATCAATACTGCAAGTGAGAAATTTATAAAACCTTCAGTGACCAATTTTCATTTTCAAACAATACTTCGCACTCAGTATTATTTTTAAAACTGGTGTATTCACCAAATACTTATTGCTGTTTTATTCGCTTGAGCGTAAACTCCGATTTTCACTGTTACTGTTTTTCGAAATTTTGTCTAATTTATATTATATTTGATTTTAATGGCAAATATAGGTAATTCATGTTCCACATTAGCTCGTAGATTTTATACTTTGCCTCATTGTCAAAAAGGTAAGTTAATTAAATCATCGTTTTAATGAATGAATGGGAAAGAATTCTAGATATCCTATTTAGTATTTTTAAGAAATAATCTTCAGTGGTATCTCTCTTCTTCTCTGGCAATAGAATCAAATCTTAATTCTCCAATACTATTGCCATCATTTTCGGATTCCATTTAGCTAGTTTACGTTCTTGCCCTTTTTCTAACTAACAAGATACCGATGCCAATATTAGATTCTTTTTTGACTAGCTTTTTTTTCTTTTTTCATTTATTATTTTTCCCTTCTGTTATGTAGAGCGTCTGCATGAGTTTGTTTTTATGTTCTATTCATTTGAATTTAAAGAATGAGCATAACTTAACCTGTAATAATTTATGGTATGTAATTTCGATGGTACATAATTTTTATAATTTTTGAAGATTATGTTGTGCTATTATTACCTCCATATGAACCTTTATGAGATTTGTTAATATTTTTATTAATATTGCCGTATATAGGCTGGTCATCATAAACAAACATGGCTTACAAACTGTTCTCAGGAATATATGAACTTATCTCGTTTTCAATCCGGCGATGTCTTACATATCAAATTCGACATTTTTTGCTAAATATATTGTTTCGGCAACATTCCATTTTTCAACTATTAGACAATTCTAAAATGAATTAAAATATGCATTTGATTAATAGTAAATAATACTCATAGTTTAAATGAAATGGAAAGCATAAAGAAATCAAATTATGCAAAAGTTAAATGTCATCAAAACAAAATTAGTTCTGTAATTTTTCTGCGTAAAAGAAAACTCCTATGTCACTATCAAAGCAACGAAAAAATCATGGTATATGAAAAATTCAACGTATATTTCTTAAATCAAACAACGAGCTTGTTAATAACATTTAAAATAATACTACGAAATGTATTAAATAACTTACATACATAATAATACATTACATACATAACAAAAAGGAAAAAAAAAAAGACTTAAAATGCTTTTTGAGATGACTCAAAATTTACATTTTACGGATCGCGAATTGGTACTTTCCTCAGGATAAACGTTCTTAAACTTAAGATGCATCTCGAATGCCTTATGATTCTTTCATTCAGTCCCAATCAATCCTACAAAAATTACTAACTAGTTTTTAATTCCTCGTGTAACGAAGATAGCATCATTAAAAAGCATAATGAGTGACTTTTATAAATCGTAGTTAGCCAAAATTGGTCAATTAAAACTAATGACAAAGCACTGCATATCCAGTCTTGTTACAGAATGCATAAAATAAATACTGATCATATTCATGAAATTCACGTAAATAGAAAAACTTCTAAACAATATTTTATTTGCTTAAAAAAATTAATTTATTTTTCTCTTTTTCGTAAAAGGCATAGTAACCTAAATGTATAAAAATACTTACTATTTATATGTGAAACAATTGTAATCTAATGTAGTCTGAAGCATTTCAGAGAAGTAAATATGAATATCTGAGTAATGTTTTAGAGTTGATAAGCTTCTAGATTACAGAAAGCAATAATGAAACCTGAGCCTCCTTTCCCTTTGGTTAATAAGCATCGAGCATACAATTAATCATTACTTACCCCTTTTTTTCAGATGTTGACTCAGAACTACCAGTAAGATTAGACTGTGAGGACAAATACCTTAAGTATCTTGATCTGAACTGTTCGCTTGGAATGTAGACCCCTTTTGGTCTCTGTGTACTGGAAGCAACGCTGTTTGGCCTCATCATGGTGCCATCTGAACAGTTATTACAAGCAGCCCCTAGATTGCAAATCGGAAGTTGTCCTTTAGGGCACTGAATTGCACTGACATCTCGAACCTGCTCTTCTTGGTTCTGTCTCATTCTTTCTTGAGTTGTTAAAAGCACCATTTTCTAATAACTCATGAAAGGCCTGAATATACTTAATAAATATTATGACGAAAATATACCTGACCGGCTCTTGTAGATTTGCTTTCTAAAAGGTAGGTGAAACGTCAAGGACTTGCTTTTTTTAAAAAAGAGCTGGGTATCTATCACAGCTTAATATAATCAGCAAGCTTATTCCTGTCAAAATACTACTGAATATTCCAGAAGAGTGCATAAAGTGTCATTTCAGAAGCAGCAAGTGACGTGAAAACATATGAAGTAATTAAGAATTTGTCGCACTTCAGACAACCAAGGTGATATTTTTCTAATGTTTCGCTGCTTGAACGGTAGATAGAGATCATTTAAACATTTCAACAACATAATATGATACACAGCGGTTCTATGCTTGTAAACAATTTTAAGATACTTGTAGAAATTTCCATGAAAGTCTTGAACCACGTGAAACCGGTGGTTGCATGCTGTAACTTATCAATTTTAGAAATGATCTTAATGCAAGTGAAAACCATTCAGTCATCAGTCAGTAGTAAAGCTCATTTGATAAGAAATATATCTAGTGTTTGAGTGAATCCGGATTAACAGAATATCCCACTGGTTGTCAAACAGACGGAAGAATGTAGCATAAGCCAGGCAATAAACAAAATTCAGCTTCAGAAATATCTGCGTCTATCATAAGGAGGACCTTTACAACACAAGCCTGAAATGCAAGTGATCGCATTGTTCTTTAGGGCTTGATGTGAAGAAGAAACTGTTCTTTTCGGCTGACCTATTCTTCGGTCACTCAACGCTTACAGCGGTCTTAAGGCGTGACGAACCGCATTGCTAGCTCTTGTGATTCTGGAGCAGCGGACCGTATGAGCAGAGAATAGCATAACTGTACTGTTTCCTAGGTTCTTTCACTAAAGGTGGTTGCGTTTTCGCGAGTCTTAGGTATGTGGAAGTAGCGTGCCTTCTATGAAAGTTTTTCACCCGCATCACAAGAGAGGGAATTTTAAAAAAAATTTCTTTCGGCTTGATTTATAAGGGCAAAAGTAAAAGTAGGTCTTGTGGGAAAGAGAGATGTGTGTGGTTAAGATGTTTCACAACTTTGCGTATAAAAGAAGTTTAGTTAAAAAGTAGTTATTTATTTTTCTAGTTTGTTCAATGCCTTTTTGTCTATAAAATACTTTTAATTGTTTTGTATCAAAGTTTCGAAATCAGTGTATTACAAATCTCATTATTTATATTTAAACTTCAAAGCATAAGCAAGTGTAATAAAAATAATTATTTACTTTCAAAATAGCTTTGAAGGAAAAGCAGTTATATAACGCAATGCAAGTGGTAAATATTTTTCTTGTGGCTCAAGCTACAAGCGGGATCAAGCACTTAGCACATCTACCTACCAAAGCCTGGCTCCCTCATATTTAATTATGCTGGCTTAGTCTGTAAAGACTATTAGGATTTTCACAAAGAGAAACATGAAAAATCAACGGTTCTCTTGCCGGGGTTGGAATCACGGATCTTTCACTTGTAAGCAGAAGGTGCTTACCATACGCTTGAAATTATCCGGTCCCAAAGACATTAGGAGTCCTATCACCGGCTGTAAAACTTAATCTCCCTCCCCCGACAAGACGAGCCCATTACGAGAATGGCCAGCCAGGACAAAGTACTCACTGTCAAGTACTGCTTTGTGAGTGTGATGTTAATATTTACAGCCAAGAAACTGCTCATGACACTCCCTCCACGAGGCCTCTCTCATCTTGGTGGCTGGCCCGTTAGTCCCTCCCGAGGAACGTTGCCGCCCCTTAACCGCGCCGAAGTGTACTCTCAGAGAGGCGCTTACCACTTACACGGTTAGGGAGGCGACCACTCACGAGGGAATGCGATAAATCCTCAAAAGATTGCTTGCAAAACGTGGCTTGAAGAACCCGTTTAAATATAAAACCTAATATAACGCATATTAAATTTTAGCGTTAAGATAGATTATAAGGTATTTCACCCCTCCTTTCTGCATGCCTTCGTGGTATAAGGGAATCACACTCGGCGCGTATTCGAGAGACCCAGGTTCGAGTCCCTAGGAGGGCATTGTTCATTTTCCATGCCTCTTGTTACAAAATAACCTAATTACTCTAGAAGATGAAGTGCAAAATGTAATAAAATGTATTTTGAAGCTCAAGTTAATTATATTTTTTAATCTTATATTTGTAAATTTTATACTTAATGTTTCATTTTAACTGAAAGTCTCTTTGTATGTCTATAGGTTAGTACTCTACAAAATGAGGCAGCTAGTTTGTAACATTGTGTATTCTAAAGCTAAATTTAATAGTATTTTTAATGCTACATTTGCATCTCAACCGAGATAATGGTTAGTGTCTCTGAAGGGCTTGGTTTTGAATTCCAGAGAAAGCATGGATGTTGGTAAATGTTTAATGACTGTGCGGTATGGAGGCACTCAAAATATGTGGTGAGCCGAAAGTCCTTTCTAGAGGTCGGTAGTAGAAAAAGAGATGTGGGAGACCTTCGGACTCGTCCCCCGGGGTGCTCTTCTTCAAAACTGGGGCGGAATTGAGCAAAGTCGTACTGTCACCTGTATGGTGCCCAAGGCTCTTGCCAACGACAGACGCAATCCACGATAAATTTTGCGGGGGACATGTACTGATATTGGATAAGCAAGCTTAATCAGAACGACAACAATAAGAATATATTTGTTCTTCGGTGAAAGTGTTGGTTGAATGATTGGCTTTTGTGATTTTCCTTATGTTTAAATTGAATACAAGTTAGTTTCCTTTATAAAGTCCTCCACGAGGGAATTAAGACTTTATTCATCATTTATAAATATTATAATCAGATACAACTTAAGTTAGATTTAACCCTCTAAAAGGAAAAAAAATGAAGTGGTGCTTTTTTTCCGGAAGAGTTATGATTAAAGATAGCCTACAAAAAAACTTGCTTTGTAATACTATGCCAAATATACCTTGTATTATATATATATATATATAGGAAAAATAAAGAATATGTTAAAGATTAAATATTAGCAACGTAAATTTCCTTTCTCAATTCTAAAAATAGTAAGCCTCTCTGCACTGCGTCATTTCGAGACTATTCTATGTCATATGATTCTTACGTAATTATGATGATGTAAATGGAACTAAAACTCAATCAACCAATAGTAATTTTACAGCAATATTAACTGTCCAATCAAAATGCTTTGAAAACCAAAACTAACTCAGTCTGACTTAAGATTTCATCCTGACCATAACGCACTTGCTTTCACCACTTTGGCCTGGCCGCTCTGCAGTCTGTCTGCTCTTTCCTTTTTATTGCAAATTTATCTAAAATGTAAAATCTCTTGGAATAGGCACAATTAATGTGCCAACTTGATTGTCGCCGCAACATGTTTGCTAAAATAAAAAATTAAGATTTAAATCTGCCTTCGCCTCCAATTTCCTATTCAGCACTTCTACTTAGGATCATCAGTTCTACGCCATCCAAATTCCTGCTCCTGAATATATTATATATATATATATAACACAAGGTATATTTGGCGTAGTGTATATATATATATAAAAATTAACAAAATAACAATAATTTGTAATAAGATGTAGATAGAATAATTTTAAGCATATATATATATACCTTTTTGTTTGTAATAAGATGTAGATAGAATAATTTTTAAGCATAATAATCAAAATAATTCATGTAATTTCTCCAAGCGTATTGAATGATAAAACTGATGAGTTAGAAAAACAAATATGCTCATTCTTTGATATTGTTCCGAATTTTGTATATATGTAAACAATTTTAGTGAAATTGTAGTATTTTCTGTATTTTGTAACATGAAATGCTAAAAAAAAAACAGAAGTTCTGCCGGAAAAATAAGGTTACAAGGGTAAGTCCATTTAAAATTGAAGTAAATGGCCATCTCGTCAAATTGGCGAGATATCCCTAAGCTGGCTGGGGATAGGTTTGGCGTCTAATTTTTGTCACCAAATTTGGGGAAAAAACATCTTCCAAAGTCGCCAAACTTGGCGATATTTGGGTCTGGTCCCTGTGTCAAGTAATTGGTTCTGTAATTGCCTCCTATATTTAACTATAACGGTATCCGGCCTTTATATGTAGTCCAAAGTCGCCAAACTTGGCAACCATTTGGCGACATTTGGGTCCGGTCCCAATGTCAAAGTAATTGGTTCTGTAATTGCTTCCTAATTTAACTATAACAGTATCCGGCCCTTATATGTATCTGTAACCGCATGATTTCCAGTAATTTCAAGAAAGGAAAGTACTGTAAATTTCCTGTCTGCCGGATAAGACCGGAGAGTGAAATCGAAGAGAGCATCAGTTCTCAGTTTTTAGTTATACGTATCTCCGTGCGAGCTTCGCTCTTTACATGCGCTTTGTTTAACTATCTTAGTAGTTTAAAGTGGTAAGTACTGACTGTGACCGTTCATCCTAAGAAGAGTTATACGAGTACTTTTGTGTAAAGTTCTAGAACTGTAAAGTATTTCTTTTGTGAAAGTAATTTAATCAAGCTGTCATCGATTCTGGGTGCATTCAATCCATTACGAACCCCTATGCGAAAACAATATTTTATTTTATGTTACATTATTACAGTGAATCCTCTCGTGGTTAAACACATTTACCTAACTAAAGGGCATCTGAAAACGACCAGCATTTTTGAAAACATAAATAGACAACTGTACTGATTATCCTCTTTCTAAGACGACCACTTCCACAAAGAACTAAAACAATCTGGATTCGCTGGTGGTTGTCTTAGAGAAGGTTCACTTATCAGTTATATATAAAGAAACGTCATTTCAAATGAGTAAGCACTAAATTTGGTCCCAAAGATATGTGTTATGTTTCAGTTATGTCTGACCTAATTTTCTCTTTAACCAGATAACAAGTGAGATAATTTCTTCAGGTTTGAGTGCCTGAAAAGGAGTGACAGTTGAGGACAGATTTTTTATCACGTTATAATTAAGAGCAAGTTTAGTGTTCCAGTTCCCACTTGTGAGATCAATAAAGGAGTGTACCCTTAGACTCTATTTTAGTGATTATCGATTTAATAAAAAGGCTAGGAAGTTAAAATGTTACTATGTCTGCTAAAGAAGTAGAACAGAGGTGCAGATAAAAATATAATAAAAGGGTTGAAACAACTATTTTTTTCAGACTGCCCTCTAGTATACAATGAAAATGTTGCATTCAAATTTTAAACAAATTTTGAATGCATATTTGATTTCTGAAAGAAATTATATATGGAACTTTGAGCAGTTCATTTGAAAGTAGTATCAATATTTTAACAAATTATTCAGATAGCAATTTGTCAGATAGCAATAAGTCAGAAAATTTGAAAATAGGGTGGTCAATTAAAATAAGCAACACTGGGAAAATAATATATGATAATGAATAATCTGAATTCATAGCTTGAATCCGAAAACGAAGCATCCTTTTCAGGCTCCAGTTTTCAGTTAATTACTGAGTAATGTTATATGATAAATATTAAAGTCTAACCTCCATGCTTGCGCTCTCTTGGATTAAAAATTTAAAGGAGAACAAATTTATTTTAGAATTTAATAAAACTTACATAATTTTAAAATGTACGCAATTATTTAATCATCACGCCGATTAATTTGAAAATTCCAAATTAAACATTTAGTCATTAATTCATAACAAATACTTATTCTTTTATTTTTAGAAAAATTATTTTCAATCAGATTT